CCCAATAACCCTACGACCTTTTATTGAGCCAAAATGTAATATCAATGTGTTTCTATCATTTTGTTCTTCGGTTTGCATGTTGTTTTTCTTCATTACCTCACAGCTGTCTGCAAACAGGAGAAAATTTAAAAACCTAGCAGTTAATAGCTCAAGTTATCAGGAAAATTTCAGGAATAAAGAAAAAGCACCCAGATAAAGTTTTCTTCCATGAACTAGATATTCCTTCAAGGAGTATGCTTTCAAACCGTTTTTACATTGATTTCACTTTTTAGTCATTTGTTATTTCTATTATTGATCGATTTTCTATATTTAATTTACTTGAAGACTTTTTTCATTTCTATAATGTGTAATGCAAAACGTAGGGTCAATAAAATCGTTTCTTATCACAAGGGAATACAGTAACAAAAGAAGTACTCTGAAAATTCTGGACCACTAACACTGATTGTGGTCTATAGTGGATGGGGTGTACTATTTCGGATAAGTATAATAAACGATATAGACAAGTGAGATGCTTGTCTAATACGTTCCGGAGTCGGTGAAAAGACTTTTGTTTACTGAAAGGAAGAAAGAAATGACCCTGTCAAAGCATAGGGTTTGCACAAGTACAATTTGTGCTGATGGAGAGTTCTACTGTTTGAGACTCGTGGCCAGTGTCATTAATTGATAGGTGCGAGATCGATGCAGATGGTCTAGTAAGAGAAGTGATAGTGTTTGCAAAAGGTGTTGTAAAAAAATTGTGTTAGGGCTCTTTCTTCTGAAGACAACCAACTTAGTGCAGATTGTAGGTTGCGTTTAGGGATGTGTCCGCAAACTGCTTGTCACTACAGCACATACCATCGACATCTACAGCTAGAGGGAGGATGATTTAAGGTATCTTTACGTAACTGAAATGATTTCGATGGCTGGTACAACAGAATAATAACTCTGAGAGCAGCACTTGTAGTATCGTTTGATATGTTAAGTCCATATGCCTTATTCTAACCTCTGGACAAACCAATTCACCTATCCATCATGAGTCATGTTTTCACCTTGTCAATTATTCACTTGTTAACGCCTAGTATTTTTTTATATGAGCGTACATGTGTGTGCACTTCTTATCCTATTTATTACATGTCTGTCATTTATTCTTGTCTGACTATAAATATTGATTAACGCTTGCTAAATTGAGTTAGCTTATCCATCATCTCCAATGAGTGTTATTTTTGCTTCGCTAGCTGACATTTACTCATGTGCTTATAAATTTCTGGCCTGCGTCATTTGTTAATAAACTGTAGCTGCCGCTTTTCTTTGCCTTCTGATATTATGCACCTTCAAGGTTTGTATTATAACGGTTATCGAGGTGAACTATTAACGAAGCAATGCACTTCACACTGTTATTTCTTTAACCCTTCACTCTGCCTAGTAATTGAATTCTTACCCAGTACTAGTACAACCATGGCTTCACATTTCTCAATCTTCCTTGACTAGTTCTTTGTTACATAACGCCAGATAGGAGTTAACCTTATTATTTAGTTTTGTTTCTGCACGATGCCGAACAACAGATAGTAGGGCTATACTGAACTCAAACTACATTGGCTTGAGTGACATACCCAACAGATAGGCGTATTTTAACATACATGCGTATTCGCTGGTACGTTTGCTTTTCTTGCAATTTACGGATGTTTCGAAAGAATTTTCAAGAGTAGTATGTGTAAAGCTCAATCTGCTGCTCCGTGAGCCATTCCCATGGCCCACATTACCAAGTTAGTTTATTCATCATAAACCTGATGTTCGGCAAACATTTAAAACTTCAGCGTTCTGAGGAAAAAAACGGTCGACCTGGTGGATAGTTAGGCTGAAGTTCAGATTAATTTCAACAACGTTACAGTTTTAAAATGGAATCTGTTAACTTGGTTTCACATGAGTTTGTAGTGAAGTGATATAGGACCGTAGTGCATACTGTATATATAGTTGGCCGATCTATAGAAAAAATGGAAGTAGTTGGTGATACGGCAACATTTTCTAATATATCTCAGCTAACCTTAACCGTATTATTGTAGTGCAGATTTGTGCACAGTCAACGAAAACAAGCGACACTCCACCGTTGGTTTGTTCATTAAAAATCAGTAACACATTCATTAATATAGAACTTTAGCTAGTGCCATACTAAATCTTCTGAATTACATTTTCTGCCATAACGTTAGATAAAGTTGGCTTTAAGACCTACTCCTGTTATTATTATACCACAATCTAAGCATGTCTATTACTACAAATAACGCTTTTAAATAAGTAGCCATGCAGCATTCGTAAAATGGGTCCTTAAGGAAACAACATCAAGTACTTGGGTCTTATGGAGCCGACGTGAGTTTGACATGACGTGTACTGACGTACCTGGGTCACAGTTATGTTCTTTTTAATTATGTAAACAGAATTCGAATAACATGATTAGCCGACGCTGCTAGATATTTCAAAGGAGGTGAGCTTTTCACTAGACTATGCCGTACATCAATTAAACTCACTGGTCACGCATACGAACCAGATCACGAGTAACTACGTCGTGTTAGGCATCTCTCACAATCATTAACCAGCTTAGACTAAACGCCTCCCGACATACTGGTCGCCATTCAAACATATCTCCGTGCCTCATCACTTCTGGTTTGACTGGGTCGGTATACTACGATTATCAAGATGTGATGGGTGAAGACCTCAGACTACGAATACCAGTGGCATCCTTAAATTTGTCAGTAAACAGTAAATATTCATTCTTAGCCCTATAAATCGGATTGATTGAATCTATTTAGTCACATGACAATTAAAAAACGCTTCAGAGACATATTAAACGCAGTTTTCAGAATTTCGGCGTTTATATGCCTAAGTGTTTCCATTATCCGATGATGAATATCATCAGAACCATTGAACTTATCTTGTCTGAGATAATAAAGTATCCTTAAGAAGACCACATCGTTAGGAACCATATGGCCACTGTGTCAGTTAATGTTATGTCTTTCAATACTAACCGTAGAAAATCACTTTACTGAAACATTTTGGCAAAAATGAGGGTTTGTTAGCACTACCACTTGCCAATGTCAAAGGATTCTACTGTATCTCAAACGGTGAAATCTTGACATTTTTCTGAGTTCATCTTTTCATGTATGAGAATGACATTTTTGAAATATTTTCAAAATCCATAGCAAATCGTTTTCGTATGAGGATCCTTCAGTTCATTGTATGCATTCCTGGTCTTAAAATTAGTGGGTCGTAACTGTGCAGTATCTGTAGGGATTGTAGTATCAGTTTATATGTTAAGCCCATATACTTTATCCCAGCTACTGGCCAAGCTAATTCACCTATACATTATGAGTCATATTTTGGTCTTGTTCATTATTCGCTTATTGACCTTGCTACTTTTTATATGAGCGTATGTTTGTGCATACTTCGTATCTTATTCATCATATGTCTGTCATTCATTTTGTCTGACTATAAATGTTGATTAAGGCTTGCTTAAAATGAGTTGGGTTCCCCGCCAATCTCCAATACGCATTATTTTCGCTGCACTCTCCAGTTGGCTTCCCAGCCATCCCCACTATGCATCATCTTTGTTTCGCTCGCTAACCTTTGCTCATGAGCTTATGAACTTCTGGTTTGCATCATTTATCAATAAAAATGTAGTTGTCGCTTCTATTTGCCTTCTGATATTATGCACCGTTAAGACTTGTATTATAACGGTTATCAGGGTGAACTATTAACGAAGCACGGCACTACAGGATAAACAAGTTCTATTGCTTTTCCCTACGTCAAAGGCGTTTCTTAAATTCTTTGGTTATCCATAGCGAACAGTTATCAGGTCTTTAAAGTCCTAAGCATGGTAACCAAGTTAAATATGCCTTCAAAATACTTATCCAAACAATGAGCTGGTATCCACTGTCCATTCCGCTGCTTCATCATACAACTGGATAGCTCATATTTTTGCTTTGTACATAATTAGGCAAGGTCGTACTTCATCATAGACTATATTTCAAGCCCTAAACTTAAGTGACAACACGGCATGATCGCTATTAGTTGCATAGATTAATGCACAGATAGGAAATGTTCTCGGTGGTATAAAGGCTTACTAAACCCAACGATGAAGACTTTTGGTCCGAAACGAAAAGAACCAGCACATGCTCATTTACACTAACCAGGGTCCCACTAAAAGATGTACTTTGGGGAAATAGCTGGGCAAATTGTCAGTCATTTGTGACGTCCAACTATCTACTTTTATTTCGTGGGCACCGTCTTTAAGAAGAGAGATCTGAAGTTCAGGTATACTTTTAAACTTCCAGACCCTAGACCTAAGAATCGGACCTTGAAAATTTCACTTTGAAAGCTGACAAGTCATTGAGGCATTCCTTTGGAAATCCGGTTGTTTCAAAAGTTGAGGCCTAGAGGATCACTATGACATTCCTCTAATAATATTTTTTACTACTCCATTTAAAATCCAATGTTTTATTCATGAGCTAGTATTAACTTTCAGATTTTGGTTTACAGTAGTGACGAATTGCTAGTCTCACGAGATCTATTTTGGATAAGAGATTTTAGTCAGTGATATACATGAACGTTGCCTTGACACTTCAGGATTCTGAGAGGAGAAATTATGAATTGAAATGTTGAATGGATTTAACGAAGAGAACGATCAAGTGTAATCACTTTCGGCAACTTTGGATTTAAAAAGGACAGGAAGCATGCATTTGTAATCAAGGACCGTGATCACATGCTCTTTTATCAGTGAATTCCATAGCCTACAACCTGAAACCAAGACAATTTCACGCATTTCAGGAAAATCGTATATCTTCCATTCCAAAATAATATCCTTTTGAGTGCTGTTTGGTATGGAAACGTGATAATGACCGTTTAAAATAGACGGGATTGAAACATGATCATATAACAGAATAAATGTCCCTAAACCATGAGTATCAAAAATGGAATCAACCTGCTAGCTGGATTTGTATCGGCCCAACCATTATCTGTTTTGATTAGGTCAAATGCGTAATATGACGACAAGGTCAAGGCTTGGTGTGCATTGTTCGAAAATGTCAGCAGATGGTGCTCTTCATGAGTTTCTTGCACGAGAGAAAGAAGAATTGCGCGGGTTAGAAGATGACTTAGATTTCACACCAAACGGTTTGTACTACACTCAAAAACACCTTATTATTTAGGTGAAAATAATGTTGCTGAACACCTTCAAGTAGACGAGGAACCGGAGTGCATAAAACGTTGGGCCATAAGTTTTAAGAAGCGGATAGAGGTCAAAGACGATGCTGAACGTAAAAACATGTTCATGCTAGAAGAACAAGGACTCAAAGTGAATTTCAACGTGTATTTCGTCTACACTCCTTTTTTTATCTACGCAGTCGCTCATAACTCTAAGTCTCTCCTTCATTTTTGGCAAAATTCATGCTAGACAGGTGTCCAGTTTAAATTATTTAAAGGGAATAAGTAAATCTCGGCCACGCCCCCAAATTAATTTGCTTCGTTTCCTGTCAGTATCACCATTGCTTCTCCCAACTCTACATGAAAGGTTTGTGGGATGAAATATGAAGCTGCACTCCCATCTTAACAGCAGATTTCTCCTCTGAAAACACCTAACCTAATTGAGGATGTAATTAGGTTTCTCAATGTTTTGTAGTTATTTGTTCCACATACTTGTAGAACTTTACCATCTTATCCTGAGTAACTTTAGTCTTCAGTAATAAGGATAGAAGGTGTAGTGACCTATTTTAATCCTTGCAGTTTGTTACACTGTGGAGGTCCAATCTCGTCTTGAATATATCAACAGAAGGTGCTGATATTACGTGTTCTGGTAGAGAATTCCAGTAATTCACTACTCGGTGCGAGAAACGAAACTCCAGACGTAGACGATTTGATCTCGGTTTTTGGACTTTCTTTGAATGTCCTCTCAAATACTCAGCCCTAGACGGGAGGAAAAGATAGGACATGTTAGTACCAAGGTCATTGTTCAGGATACGATATGCCAATATTAGATCACCCCGTATTCGCCGGTAAGATAACGGAAATAAGTTGAGGTGTCTCAGCCTGTCTTCATAAGATAGGCTAGATAAGCCTTTTACCATTTTTGTCCCGCGGCGTTGGACTCGTTCCAACATATCCGCCTCATATTTGAAACAAGGACTCGCTGCTTGAATCCCATATTCCAAATGTGGCCGTACGAAAGTTGGGTATAACAATTTAAACATTTCCCCATCCAGATACCGGAAAGATCTACGAATAGACCATAATGCCCTATAGCCTTACAGTGACTGGTTGTTTTGAGATCATTACTTAGTATGACTCCTAGATCTTTATAGTTTCTTACTTTGGGCAACACTAGTCCACATAATGTGTAGTGATACGAATCATCGTAGCTATTTAATTGCATCACAACACTTTTATTAGGGTTTACTTCTAGTGACCACCCATTCATCCATGCAACTAGTGAGTTAAGATCTTCCTGTAAAACTATTGTCTGACATACTATATATGGGTCTCCAAATCTTAATGTCATCGGCGAATAGTAGGACGGATAACTTAGCTGTAGCTGGTAATTCATTTATATAAAGTAAAAAGAGAAGAGGACCTAAAATTGTGTCCTGGGGGACTCCACTTTTTACTAGTTCCCACGACGAGAGCCCCATTTTCTCTTACCCGTTGTCTCCTTTCATGAAGAAAGTCACTTAGCCAGTCTATGACTGCATAATGAATTCCAAAACTTTCCAGTTTTAATTTAAGACCAGAATGGGAAACCTTATCAAAGGCTTTACTTAGATCTATGAAAATGACATCTACAGGAATACTGCGATCTTTTGCCTCAGCCCAATCTTCTCTTGCAATGAGAAGATTTGTCAAACATGATAGACGTTTTCGAAAACCATGTTGTTCCTTGGACAAAAGATCATGTCTTTCCACGTAGTTTCTAACAGCCATCCTAATAATTTTTTCCATTAGTTTTACAACTGCACTAGTTAAGCTGACGGATCGATAGTTACTAACTAAATTCCTACTCCCAGCCTTATACACCGGACTGATTATTGCGTCTTTCCAGTCTCTGGGCAATCTGGACTGCCGTAGGGACATATCGAACAGCATCGCTAAGGGTTCAGCAATAACATCTGAGAGGGCTTTCATAATCCGAGGATGAATATCATCAGGACCACTAGACTTATCAGGTTTGAGATGCTAAAGTAGCCTTAAAACAGTTTCTTTCTTAATAACTACAGGGTCCATCAACAAGCCGCCACAATCACAATGAATAGATAATCGTTCCTCATTATTGGTAGAAAAAACTTTACTGAAATATTCCGAAAAAGCTTCCGTTTTTTCGGTATCATTTCTTGTCAAACTTAACGGATTTTCTTGTATTAAAAGTGATGATATTCCATCACTTCTCTGAGTTTGCCTCTTTGTATACGAAAATAACCGTTTTGGACTATGTTTGCAATCCATAACCAATTGTTTTTCGTATGACCGTCTAGTTCTACTAATTAACGCTTTACAATTATTTCTAATCTTACGATAACTAGATCTGTACTGTTCTAAGCCAGTAGAGATGAACATGTTCCAGTGTTTTTTCCTACGCCTAAGAAATTTCTTAACTTCTTTATTTATCCACGGTGGACTATTGTTCGGTCTACGTGGCACCAAGTATGGTATAAACGGGGACGTGACTGCACTAAACTTGCCTTTAGATACAGACCACGCCTCATCAACTGATGAGCTAGTATCTACTGACCAATCTATCTTAGTAGCACAATCCTGAATTTCTGGTATGTTAGCTCTCCATATGTTTGGGCGAGGCTTAATCTGATCGTATATCATATCGCTAGCTCTAAACGTGAATGATAAAACAGCGTGATCGCCATTTACTAACGGGGGAAGAATATTTGGGTTGGCAATATCCTCAGTCTCATGGATAATTACCAAGTCCAACAGAGAAGAACCTTGGTTTACACCGAAACGTGTAGGTTTGGATACATGTTGTACTAATGCATGTTCCATTACTGTTTCCAAGAGCCTGCTATCAAATGAGTTTATAGAGCATTTCGTGGTCATCTCAGTCCAACTAATGTCAGGTGCATTAAAGTCTCCTAATATCAAGCATCTGTTATTTGCACTCCATAGCCGAATGTGCTCTAAAATAAAGTCATCAGCTAAGCAGACTGGGCTGCGATAGATGACACCGAGTGCAAATGTACAACATCCGACAGTGAGTTCACAGCTAATGACTTCACTAGTTACACTATCATGGGATTCGCAAACAGAGGAGCGGATATTTATACTATTGGCTATGTATAGAAGGACGACACCTCCTTTCCTGCATCCATGTCTATCACTTCTTAAACAATGATATCCGGATAATTCTGGGGTGATATCGAAGTCATGGACTAACCAAGTTTCCTTCACAGCTACAATGAGTGACCTTAATTTGTCCACTAATGATCCTAGCTCGTAGAATTTATGTCTTAGACTACGGGCGTTGGCATATAAAACTCCTAGGGAGAACGACCTATCCACACAGGCCTTGGTAGCATTCGCTTCCAAGACCTGACTATTCGAAAACCCACCAATCGGAGATTTTCTTCACCGTTTTGTCGACGGGTTTCTAGTTCAGCTAGTGCCGTCTTTTTATTCTATCTTCAAGAGACACATCCGAATGTCAGAGTTGTCGTGACTTCGAGCGTTACTTAACAGAAGATTACGTTGTTCTTCCGACCCTAAGATTACCTTAAGGAGTCTACACGGTCGGGGTAAAACACTGTCATCGGCTCTTTTACATTTTCTAACTAATTTTTTGACCTGAACACCTTTAGTGTTATCTGGTAATATGCTACGGATATATTCTCCGAGCCTCTCTAAGTCATGGGTGTGTCTAACCTTAGGATCTGGATCGTTAGACTCTGGCAATTTACTCACAATAATATTCGATGATATTAAATTCCTCTCAGTCGCACTAGGATGATGATCTGCCGTTCTATCAGAGTGCGATAATGCATTGAGTGACTCAGACTGTGAGTTCCTCAATGGCTTGTCAACCAAGTGTGCTTTATCATTAGCTTTTTTTCCTTTTCTTTTCCTCTTTACTGCGGTCCATTTTTGGTCATTCAGGACAACTGCATTGGGACTATTGGGGACGGTGACGGTCTTATCCGGGTCCTCAATTTCTACTAAAGATACATGATTACTCATGTCAATACCATGTGGTGATTTACTCCTCGTTTGTTGTAACGGAAGTTTCACTTTGTCATTAATTAGAGTAGGTTGTTCAGTGCGTTTTGTAACAGTACTTACAACACTGACACAGTCTTCACTGTCAGTGCTTGCGTTACTAGCGCACCCACTATCTTTCTTTTTACAGGCTAGAGCCAATAGGCTCATAGCCTCTTGAATTAATGTCGTCTTGTTAGTACAGCAGAACATACAAAGCCAGTGCAAGTTAGGCTTAGAACATCTTTTGTATGCAGCTGGACTGAGACGGGTACACATCTTGTGGTACCATTTTTTGCATTCATCGCACTGCATCCCTTCATCTACGGGGAATAAACAGTTCGGCTGTCCACATTTGAATGAACTACCAACCATTGTAATCAGATTAGGTTTAAGAAACAATATGACCACAATAATAGCACAAGCGTCAGACTATATGCAAAAGAAGGAACCACGAGACAAAGTTTTCAATAAAATTTCAAACCTTAACTGGATTAATTCAAGTTAAAGTAGACCAAGAATGCTTTTGATACAGCAAATACACAAAAGCAACGATAATCACAACAAGTATGAAAGTCACTGCCCTTTTTGAAACACCGCGCGAGTATGTATATCTGCCTTACTACATTCAGTGCTCACAGAGTTAAGACACTTTGCTCCCAAGTTCATGTCACGAGTTAAAAACTAAAATAGTTACACCGTAAAGGAATTATAAACCGAACTTTTAAACTAGACTAACCAAAACGTAAACCTATTTAGACGTTAATAACGCGAAAAATGGTTCTCCAATTTTTTTGATGCGGCATCCGGAATACCAAAAAACAGGTACGATAGGTAAACACTTGAGCCACTTTACTGGGAAGTAGTTCTCATATGGCTTCGAGGTTTTCGACAAAACTAATCATTCCAAGCTCAAAACCATAGCACGGGAACGGATAGTTGATATAAACATACTTCTTCGATATTCTCAGTTGATTTCTTTATGTTAGAGATCATAATAATCCTATATAATAGCGTCAGATATATCGTTATTATTTGGATTCAGTAGTGCCGAAAACAAATTGCTCTCACTGGTCGTTTCCCGTTTAATTAACAATCATATATTTCGGACAAGTAACCTCACACGTACTGACTTGTGTGACTGGATATTATATCCTTCGACGTAACTCACATAGTCTAGGAATTACGCAGAAGGATGCTATAACCCAAGACTAGATATAACAATGCCTCACTCTAAGTCCCCGTTATATATACGATATAAAAGGTGCCTACCATGAAATTAATCGGGGAAAGCATGGTAATGAATGAGAAACTCCCTCCGGTTTACCAGTTTAAACACTGCAGACGCTTACCCATCAAATTATGGCGAAACTATAGTTTATAGGCGACCTTGTGAATAGCCACCTATTTACTGCAGTTAAGTGGGGAATTAGGATTTGCAGCTGGGCGTTAGGGTTTTCATCATCAGCTATAACGCCGACATGTCATTTAGCACTATAGATGAGTGAATTTCGCGCCATAATCCAAGACAGTCATTTTAAATTTGGTTGATTCGTCCAACAATCAGTCTCGCAAATAACATTAATCCCATGCTTAGTATACTTGGCACCTATAGAACCACATAAGTGTGAAGTAGTCTCTACGGTACACTGCTATCTTTCTTGTTTCTTTAAAAAGGATTTGCATGAATGGGCACTTCAGTACCGCGATTCTCTTGCTCGAGGACAAAAACTCAGCCGCGCTCATGATAAAGAACTTCATAGTGCTCAACAAAAAGCTGCCGAAGCATCAGCCATAATGTCACAGGTGGATGCTGGTCAAGCTGTTTTGTGGGAAAAAGTTTGCCAGTTGTGTAATTTCGTCACTTCTGCTAATGAAGAAATAACAAACGTTCACACCGTCCCAATAAATACAAAGGACAATCAACGAGACTTGAACAGGATGCGTGTGCTTCTTCTGCAATTGAAGAAGAATCCTCCAGCAGTACAATCTAAAATCCGATCCCATTAATCTACAAGCTTACTCTTATTGAAGTGCAATATTATATTTACAAACTGATCTCAAATATTTAGTTTCATGTGACTACCAAGCATACATTCCATTTATTTTATGACCATCTTTATCTGTGTTTACAAGTATATTCTTAGTAAAACTGACTTCCGAATTTCGATTTTTACAACGAACTTCACCGTCTCAACTTCTGGTGATAGCGTAGAGATTCTATTGTAAAAAGTGGTGTTATAGAAAAGAGCTCTGTATTCCCGTTTTTAGGTTCGATTTGCTTAGTGCATTAGTATTTCAAGGGGAACTAGTTATCTATTGTTAATAGGAAGACTAACGTTTGCGAAGTTTGTTTGAATACCTGGTAGACCTTGGATTAAGTTAATAGGTCGCCAACAACACTTCTGTTGTAAGAAATAGTACTTTTCAGCATGTAATAGGTAAAGTAGTTTCTAAATCCGCAAGACAATACTTAGTAGACGGGTTTGATGTAATGTCGAGTCAGGGTTTTATTTAATGCGTGCTGTATTAACAGTATGAGCATTTTGTGCCAAACGTCAACCCGAAGGTGCGACAATGATCGTACGGTAAGACAGAAAGCTCCATTCTTCGAAAAGACAATTCACCCGAGTCATGTTATGAAAATCGGGTGATAATCTCCCGATTACCTTCACAAGCACGTAAGTCTTAATATTTATCAATAATTTATATTATTGACAAAAGCAATAAAAAAGGACGGATCAGTTTTGTGATTCATTAATATCTGTATCCATAGTCTTTTCCTTCTTAATTGCCTCACACTCATCGTTCTTATCCGTTTTAAATTCTGGTTTAGTTTCTCCATCAATCTCCTCATCTGTTACTTTTACAGGTTCTACGAAGCTTGGATTAGGTATAGACTTATTCACAGCCCAAACCTAGTTAAAAGTAAAAATATAATTGAAGTTTCGGTAGAAAATTCTTACACAGATTATAAATCACTTAGTGAAAACATTTTCGTTTTTAACAAATATGAAATGAGCATTGCTTACCTGAATAAGAGTTTCACTAAGGGGTATCATCTGTGGCAAAACTTCGCTTACATGCAAGTCTTGTAGCTCGAACCATTTTCCAGTACCGCGATGTACTAAGTGGATACGATGCGTACCGGAGCCAGGAGTTGGGGGACCGTCATGCACAACATTGGCTACCAAGTCGTAAGTAGTATACCTATTCAAGGTTCAGAAAAAGACAATCAATGCTGAGGACCTAGGTTTTTTTATATATTCAACTTGGAAAACCAAATTATTGTGTTCATCCGAATAAATTTTCTAAGTGAGATTGACAAGGAGGTACGTATGGTTTATGCTGCAAGTAGACAGCGATAGATTTATCGAACAATAAAGATCTAAAACGGAAGATTAGTGTCAGTTTATTGTTTTGATATCCATTCAAGAATGTTTTATCCTAAGACCAGGTGCATTAAGACAATAGTGCTTATAAAGAATACACACGAACAAATGCAGATGAAGACAACCAATGTAGCAGCAGCCTCTGCATCGATAGGCCTCCACATTCACAAAGGAAAAAGCAAGATTCTCAAATGCAACACGGAGAACACTAACTCAATCACACTTGATGGCGAAACTCTGGAAGAGGTGGAAACATTCACGTACCTGGGAAGCGTCGTTGATAAACAAGGAGGATCGGATGCAGATGTAAAGGTGAGGATTGGCAAAGCAAGGGCAGCATCTCTACAATTGAAGAACATATGGAACTCAAAACAACTGTCAACTAATTTCAAAGTGAGAATCTTCAATACGAACGTCAAGACAGTCTGTTCTACTGTACGGAGCTGAAACGTAGAGAACTACTACGACCATCATCAGGAAGGTACAAGTATTTATAAACAGTTGTCTACGCAAAATACTCAACATGCATTGGCCGGATACTATCAGCAACAGCGTTTTATGGGAGAGGACAAACCAGCTTCGAGCTGAAGAGGAAATTAGGAAAAGACGTTGGAAGTGGATCGGACATACATTAAGGAAATCATCAATGTGCATCACGACTCAATCCCTAACTTGGAATCCGGAAGGGAAGCGGAAAAGAGGAAGGCCAAAGAACACACTACGCCGGGAAATAGAAGCAAATATGAAAAGGATGAATAGCAACTGAAAAGAACTGGAAAGGAAGGCTCAGGACAGAGTTGGATGGAGAATGCTGGTGAGCGGCCTATGCTCCTCGACGAGGGGTAACAGGCGTAAGTAAGTAAGCTTATGAAGAAAAGAATCTTAGTGATATTTATATGACCCAAGCTCAAAAACCCAGACGGTTGTTGCTTTTTTTACGTCATTATTCTAAATACATGACAGAAACTATTACCGAATTATGCGTGCATTATGTGCACGGATACCAACCATAAAATTAACGTGCTCCACGTATAGAAAATCAGTATGATTCTTAGTTAACTATCTCAATCCAGATATTCTTGTTAACATCTTTGTTCACTGAATTAACTGCAAACAGCGACTAGCGTTCGAGATCTCTCAACTTTGTACAAACAGTGATTCTGACGAACCTGAAGTCAAAAGTTTCACTGTAACGATTGATACACGATAATCTGTCTAGCCTGATTGAAAGTACAACATATGAGATGAAAATCGACAGAATCTTTGAAATAAGCGTTAGCAATGATCATTGAAGATACGATAAGTAGTAGTAGCATAAACATAGAGACCGTAATAAAGAACATTTTATCTGGAATAGCTATTATTGGGAATGACGAGTTAGTTGTAAACTTGAGGATGTTTGAAATGACTCTCACAACATTGAGTAACATCAGTACATAATTTTCTGAAGACGTTATACGTTCAAGTCATATTCGCTTAAATTTTGACGAAAATTCATATAAACTCTTCTGAAAAGCCGCAGTATACAAATAGTTAAAGCAACAGAAATTTCATCACTACAGCAGTAAATATCCTCTTTTCAGATTTTATGTTTACATACGAAGCTTTGACTCTTGTTGATAGTTGACTAACTACAATTAACTGGTTTGTGAAAATACATTATACAGTCAAATGATTAAAAAGTAACGTTAGGTAAAACAGTTAAGCCTACCGATGTTTAATTCGGAATTCTGGGGCCAACAATTCACCGAAATCAATACTTTTAATGGGGAAGTTAACTATCGTTGGATTTTTCTCCAATGTGAAGATGTTCTTAACAAACCTCTTCATGTAAAGAATTAAGTAAGGAGGAAGTCGACGAAGCTCAAACCGACGCAACGTAGAATCACGATGAGTCTTGTATTCCTTTTCTGTAACTCCGTTAAATTTTGAAAGAAGTGTAGCTAATGAAACTTGTGGAATGATATTTTCCTTAAATTCATCTAGATATAATGGAGGTGGAGGTAAGTCACACGTAAGATAGAAGAAATTTATGTCTGATACTGTAGTCTGAAAAAAAAGAAATACTGACAGGACTATCGAGAGTTGGGTAATACTAAGATATTGTGATATAAAAAATGGACTTTCTTATAGTAAGTGGAAACTACTAGTACCTTACGTATAGAAACATACTTAGTACAGCCAACTTGTCTCAACTACTACTGGTATCTGACATTTCATGTAAATTTTGTTTACAGCACAATTATTTGTTAGACAGCATTTTTGTCTGTCTTCAGAGTAGCGTGGATAAGTTGGCATGGTAAGTATTTCAGTGAGGGATCTTTTGTTGTCTGTTATGCATAAGATAGGTCATGGTCATTTTGATCACTAGCCCTTAAAAAGTGTAGCCAGCTGTACATCTGATTTCTGCAACGAAGGCTTTTATTTGTAATAGCTCAATATTTGCAACCTTCATTAGTACACTAACTTCCAATCGTTAAAAAAACTTTTTAAGTATTACAACCCAAGTCTCTAAACAAATACATAAGGTTCTTGGTGGAGTTTTGTTTTCTGAGCTGGATGGTTTGGTTATGAAGCTTTCGTTGTTCTCCTGCACGACATCATCAGCACAAACTCCAAGTGGAAGTGAACTGTTCGAATTTCTCCACATATGACACAGCTTGTCGTGTGGACCTTGATTAGTAATTGTTGACCTTTAGCCTATCATTGTTTACTTTCTTATTTTGATTGTACCTCCCACTGGTTTGATTCTTGGTCCTATGTTTGTCCATAATTTTCCTGATTAGTTGATAAACTGGATCGATTTAAATGTTTGTTGACTGCTGATTGACCTGAGAGCCAAGCTTCTAAAAATTTTCTGGTGCTTTTAGAATTCCCTCTACCCATGATCTCAACATCTTCCCAGTTGAATGTATGTCCACAGTTGTCCACGTGCATTGATATAATTGACGTTTTGGCGTTTGACCGCTAACTGATGTTCGTGCAGGCGAAAATGAAGGGGGGCGTCCACTTTGTCGGATAGACTTATCAAATAGCTATATAACAATTATGAGTTAGTGAGATACGCTTAGGATACATATGCGTAATCAGATACTTTAGCTCCCTAAGAAATTCAGGACACTTTCCTACGAGAAAATGATTCAATGTAGATGATTCTCACAATAAACAACTAGGAAAATACTTCAGAGAACATATTTGCTTTAAAACGTGCAATGGGTGGCTAAAAGATATAGCATAGATTAAGTCAACTAACCCTGAAATTAATACATTTCATGAAAACTAATGAATGCGTTTTGGTACCGTACCTTAAAAGGATAACCAACTGAATTTTTCAAAATAGTTAAACCTCTATATCCCATCGTCTGTTCTCAGTGTTTAACTTAATTAAATGATATTAGAAAAGAGGTAGCTTGGTAATTATGTTTCATCATAAGATTCGTCAGCTTTTCAGACCAGCGTCGATTTTACACACAAGAGCAATACTCTTCGAATATCTTTAGTCTAAATATACATATGTGTGGAGAGAAATATAGCATCATTCTAAGACAAGAGTAATTTACCTTCATGGTAATTTTATTATTAATAAACAGTGGAAGCATTTCTTGTGTTTAATGACTAAGAGATATTTATAAGATACAAGCAACATAACAGATAATTGTAAACTACTATTATTTATCTCTCTCGTCACTACTGTTCATAATCATAATGTAGACGCTTCATCATTATGATATCTGTATTCACTAATCACCCTACTGGACTTCAATCAAAGTGAGTAAATATATATGAAATTTTTTACACAGATTAGTAATTACGAAAAACAGTTATGCCATATTTAAACAAATACAATACCATGTATTCAGGGCTGTCGGCTAGAGAAGCCTTTTCTTCATCCGTCATATTTACAGGCATGATTTTTCGACTGTACATTCTCATCTTTCCTCGTAAAGTTGATGAAACTATGCTTTTATAGGTTTTATTAACTGCGCCTTTGGGACAGAGAATTTTTTTAGTCCTTAAGGCTTTATCTATTGCATTAACCAACCATGAAAGAAATTCAATAGCATCGCCTTGTTCAGTGATTTGGAAACGCTTTTTACTACACAGCACAACTGCCTGTAGAAGAAAAAGAGAAATGAGATATATAATTCTTAAAATATCCTAATTACTTAACAGTTAAGATGTTAATTCTGATAATTGACTAGGACGTTATTAATTCAAACAAGAGGACTGAGCACTTTATTGTTTGGTTAGTTGACAATATTGTTTACGAATTCTTAACATAATAAGATAAAAAACAGACCAATGTAAAGGTTAAATGCACGCTGAGAGACATAAATATTGTGTGAACAACTAATTACTCTGTTTAAGATACTCAAACCTGTGTAGGCAGAGGCATCGTTCGACCTATGGTTAACTATTAAATTCAGCAATTAAAGTTCGTGCATTCAAAACAACAAATCATAGCTATAAATCCTAGATGTTCTTAAGATCCTAAGCTAAAATGTATAACTCTGAAAGTTATAACACGATCAATACTTTATATGTAATTTAATGATAAAGCTTAGGATTGTTAAAAACCATGAAAAAAGCAATCACTGAGTTTATTTTGTGCACGACTAAGAACCTTTGTTAGAATGTGGACGACACCGAAGAATATCATCACTGCTACGAAAATAGAGAACTATCTACAAATCAGAAAACTGAATGAGAAAAGTAAACTTACCTGTAAGAATTCATGAGGTGAAACGTGAGTTTTGAAGTTTCGAGGATTCCACAATTTTCGAATAAGTTCACTAAATCTCTGAACCAAAAGCATCATTTGATCTCCAGAAACAGAAGGTAGGTTCTCAAAGTTTTTGATATCCAAGAAATAATTTCGCAATGGACTGATATGACTGAGCATTTGTAATATGACGTTGCAATAATCATTTGCCTGAACAAAAAATAGAGGGTTATCGGTATCAGGGACTTAGTTGATTTATTTGCTTGATGTATTACAATTGACAAACTGACCTACCTTGATATTATTGAGACCTACAACGCCAGGATAATATGTAAGACCATTGTATGCTCTGACCATTTTCGAATAACTGTCCAAAGTAAGTATTTCGGAGGTATTGAAAGTAGGATTTAGAAGGTAGGTAATGTCTTCCAATGACCCATCTAAAATCTCATAATCATCTGGCAAGCAATAAAACCGTCGAGTTTCTAAATTCAGGAAGACGTGGTGGCTTTCACTAACACTGTGGGTATATGCATGAGTAGAATTTCCACGACCCTAAGATATAAAACATTTATGATAAGCATTTTCATTTAATACTGTAAGTGCATTTGAATTTAAGAAACAAAATGATTGGGTTAAAGTTAATTGGTTGCTAATCCCAATGTGTTTAAATGAAACTTATTATGCGAAGCATTTGGTTCGACTTATTTGAAGTGACGAATAAACTGTTTCTTGCAGTTTCACCATAATAAAACATAACACCGTAACTTATTATTCGCACGAACATCCATACACTCGACTTTGAACCATACTTTTGTGTGAGGCTGAGTGATGATACCAAGATACCCAACGTAAAGTGGGTGGAGAGAGGTTAGAATCGGCGACCCATTGGATGAACACCAAGTGCATCAACTACCGAGAGATTACCTAAAATAACCCATTTACCAAATACAGATAAATACAACTTTGAGTCATAGTGTGAAGGCTAGTGATATCACTAAGGTATCACACGGTCAATGTCAACCAACAAGACCGGTATTTCTTGAGTTTAAGATTTGAATAACCAGTCAATAAGATCTTGAAGACGTAAAACCATCGAATCTAAATTAAATGGTATAACTGTGTAGTTTACAACTAAACTGTTGAGTATTGTTAAAATATAAGCTACATTGGAGGGATGAAAATCTTTCTATCTTCAGTAGATACAATCATCGCTAAAACTTACCAGAATACTTCACCAAGTCTCTACGAACAAAAGTCTGTAAAACACTGACAAATTATTAACTCGAAACTCCGTACTATTCAAGAATTTAAGGTAACAAATCCATTTTATGCAACAGTGAAGTGGTTGCAAACAGTCCAAATTCAGTAAAAGACGGCATCTTGACAATAAGAAAATTCTTCGAAGTAAAGATTAAGGTAGTCGACGTTGTTTGATTTCCAGAAGAGTCAAAAGCTAGTTTACTTATCAAAAGCCAAGAAAACGCACAAACTACCGAAGTCTTCAATGATAAAACAACTAGTACACATTTGGGTTGCAGTCAGAAATTATATACAATACTATTCATTGTGAATAATTTTGAAATAAATTTACTTGAAAGTACTTCCCACAGATTAGACAGGCATATACATTCAGGTGAGATAAAGAAACGGAACACAGCTTTTCGAAGTCGAAATCCAGCATGTTCCTTCGAATAGTATCCAGGTATGGACATGATCGACTTCTGGTGTCTTCATTCTGATCATTGTAAACGGCTCCATTCCCAGTATACACCTGCTCTTCATCTGACTTATGAGGAATAAAGAATTAAACACTCTTGTACCTCTTCACTACGCTTGATCCTTTTTGAGGATTTTTTATGGGCTTTTTCATGCTTCCTTTTGTGTCCAGAAACTGAAGAAACTGAATGAGGTACAAACGATAGTGAAGACATCTCAGTAGCGCATATGTTGACGTTCCCACTTCAATATTCAGTTACTTCGTTACTTTCAGACTACCTTAAAAACAAGTGTCATACTTCTGGTTAATAATTCCCCGTATTTGAACTGAAAGAACTGGTCTTTGATTGCGTAACTTTAGAACTCCCGACATTTTAAGATTCTGAGGGCTTTGTTAATAATTACAGGAGGGACTAAAACTTCACGTAGTAATCTTCACTATAATTAGAATGATAGAATATGTCAACGCTTCTTTTAAATAAACGACCGAATATTCCTCTGTTGCTCTTTTCGGTGTAAATGTTTCACTTTTGTTGAACAAGTGTCTATCTAAAATATTACAAACGTTTGATTAAAGAAATATCATTTAATTGAACTAGTAAGTGAAACGACGCACTTCAGACGGCTACTTTGTGTTACAAAGATAGACAGATTACTTTCCTTGGAAGAAAACATGGTAAGTGAGAAATTAAGGCATGGTAGGGTGTGACCGAGCCCCTTCGACTAGATGTGTACACAGAAACTAATGTGGTCAGCATCAATATCGAAGACTTACAGAATTATTTATTTTAGGATTTTTTTCACTGATACAGAACATCCCCTTATAATGTTATAGTGATGACCCTAAGACGTTTTCAGCCAGGACTTTCAACCCAACGAGCTTGCCTTTAGTAAACACCCTTCTATGGCTTACTACGTTCAGCTGCATCTGCTCGTAATACAAAGGGAAGTGTGGTACATGTAGTTATTAAAGAAATGTACGGATAAAATTCCTATTCCTTGTATTCGTCGTCAGCGGTCATGGGAAAGAAAAAAATGTTAATTTGTAAGTGCATCTGTATGTGTGTAGGGACGCAAAACGAGAGAAAAAAGAAAAAAGTTGGTGTGTTTCATATATGCGATAGCGCAAAAATTCTTTCTCAGTCTTCAGTCTTCAGTAATAAGGATAGAAGGTCTAGTGACCTATTTTAATCCTTGCAGTTTGTTACACTGTGGAGGTCCAATCTCGTCTTGAATATATCAACAGAAGGTGCTGATATTACGTGTTCTGGTAGAGAATTCCAGTAATTCACTACTCGGTGCGAGAAACGAAACTCCAGACGTAGACGATTTGATCTCGGTTTTTGGACTTTCTTTGAATGTCCTCTCAAATACTCAGCCCTAGACGGGAGGAAAAGATAGGACATGTTAGTACCAAGGTCATCGTTCAGGATACGATATGCCAATATTAGATCACCCCGTATTCGCCGGTAAGATAACGGAAATAAGTTGAGGTGTCTCAGCCTGTCTTCATAAGATAGGCTAGATAAGCCTTTTACCATTTTTGTCCCGCGGCGTTGGACTCGTTCCAACATATCCGCCTCATATTTGAAACAAGGACTCGCTGCTTGAATCCCATATTCCAAATGTGGCCGTACGAAAGTTGGGTATAATAATCTAAACATTTCCCCATCCAGATACCGGAAAGATCTACGAATAGACCATAATGCCCTATAGCCTTACAGTGACTGGTTGTTTTGAGATCATTACTTAGTATGACTCCTAAATCTTTATAGTTTCTTACTTTGGGCAACACTAGTCCACATAATGTGTAGTGATACGAATCATCGTAGCTATTTAATTGCATCACAACACTTTTATTAGGGTTTACTTCTAGTGACCACCCATTCATCCATGCAACTAGTGAGTTAAGATCTTCCTGCAAAACTATTGTCTGACATACTATATATGGGTCTCCAAATCTTAATGTCATCGGCGAATAGTAGGACGGATAACTTAGCTGTAGCTGGTAATTCATTTATATAAAGTAAAAAGAGAAGAGGACCTAAAATTGTGTCCTGGGGGACTCCACTTTTTACTAGTTCCCACGACGAGAGCCCCATTTTCTCTTACCCGTTGTCTCCTTTCATGAAGAGAGTCACTTAGCCAGTCTATGACTGCATAATGAATTCCAAAACTTTCCAGTTTTAATTTAAGACCAGAATGGAAAACCTTATCAAAGGCTTTACTTAGATCTATGAAAATGACATCTACAGGAATACTGCGATCTTTTGCCTCAGCCCAATCTTCTCTTGCAATGAGAAGATTTGTCAAACATGATAGACGTTTTCGAAAACCATGTTGTTCCTTGGACAAAAGATCATGTCTTTCCACGTAGTTTATAACAGCCATCCTAATAATTTTTTCCATTAGTTTTACAACTGCACTAGTTAAGCCCAATCTGCTTCTCACAAAGATATTTTGAACATTTAAAAATGAAAACATACACATACACACAAAACATACACATATTACGAAAACCGTGTTTGTTCTTTGACAAAACAATAAAAACAAACGGAAAACAAAATTTATGTCCTACTCAAAATAGGCATTTAAGTGTTCTGGAAACCATGTCATTATTATAGAGCGCCTTGTTTTAGACCAAATATCAGATACCGATGAAGTTTCATCATGATTGTTGGTTATCAGGTGGAGTATGGTAATTGTGAGGCTCATGTTCAACTGTACAAGAGGTGAATCGACATTTTCGGGTTTCCTTCTGAATAATTAGCTTCAGATGGTCAATAATGATGCTATCTTTAGTTCCGTTCTTATCAATGATATGGCGTTTAAGCCTGTGATGAATGACTCTGAAAAATCCTACGCATACAGTTTCGGAAGGTCGTCGGAATGAATCGCGACGTACAAAATGTGTGTTCTATATCGTAAGGTAGACTGGACGAAAACATCAGTTGACAGAGGACAAGTGGAAACACGTTTAGTTGTAGCCAGGCTCGTACAAGAGGTTACAATTATACTCATTGAAGAAGACGAAGATTTAACTAATTCTCCTGAAGGTCGGAGTTTCGTTCCATAAACGAGTTGAGCTGCAGTGTATCCAATGTCAGCTTTCACTGCTTTCCGAATACTGAGTAGAACGAGTGGGAGATCGTCGTTCGACTATGAAACATTTGCAGCTGATAGGGAAGTTTTGAGCTGTCGGTGAAAGCGTTCTACTAACCCTTTTACTTGTGGGTGGTTTGCGTTCGTTCGGAATCGTGCGAAAACGCAAGAGTTCAGATTCCAGCTATTGTCTACAGTCTGTGGTGATAGTCGTACGGAAACGGAAGTTCGCTACGCATCGTTCGTAGAAGGCGTGAGCCATCGTTTCAGTTTTAATGTTCTTGATAGGTACTGCTTTTGTCTATCGTATGAAACGATCTACACACGTTAAGGGGTAATCATATCCATTCTAATCTGCTATGGGCCCTACCAAATCAAGATGAACGATGTCGTAAAGAGCGGTGGCTTTTTTTAAGCAACTTAAGGGAAATTCGTTGTGTTCGATCACCTTTGATTTCTTGAAATTAAATTGGCGTACACTCACCATCACGTTCTCATTCATACAACAAACACGAGCAAAATCATTGTAGAATGAGGTTGATGGTATCTCGAACGTCTGAATGGAAAGATTGTGAAAGGTATTGTTTGTAAACTGGCATGCTTCTTATAACCTGTTGTTTTATAAAAATAAACTGCCATGTTGAAGACGTTAAGTCAAAAATGTTTCGGAACGGCTGGACAATATCTGTTCATAATGGTTCCCCATCTGTGTGATCCGTAGTTTCAGGGTTGTTAACTTCTTTTGAATATCAGTGTCTTCGTTTTTCAGCTGAGCTAGTTTAAAAAGGTTAATTCCTTGGAAACAATTCGAGAAATTTATAAGAGACAAGGCGTCTGCAACTACATTGTTTGCCCCAGAAATATGTTGAATTGTGATGTGTGCTACTTGTGTCGACATTAGTAGTGTATGACGCTTGTCAGGAATTGAATGTCTGGCAGCAGAAGGTCGAGAAGATCGATGGTGACAGAACGGGAACAGAAAGCAATTGGTATAGAAACGAAGGAACAATAAAGTCTAATACAACTAATGGATATTTTGCAAATGAAGTATTTACTATATGGTTCTCAGATTCTATTATCGTCCTGGAATTTGTGTGTTCAAGTACATTTGATGTCCCCACTTATGTTCCCGTTCACTAAAGTATAGCTGAAATAAACTGCGAAGTGTAGTCCAGTTATCGAGTTTTGCAGTATGAGTCATAGACAGAAACTTGCTAGGCCGTTGAACGTACGTAAATGCTTAACTGTGGTCAGTTCTGGCTAATCTAGAATAACCACGACTTAGCTTTTCAGAGGTCGGATTCCTTGAGCAATAATAGTGTGTCCGAGAAAATCTACGTGGTCGGTTTCGATCTGGTATGTCTGAATGTCTACAGAAATTGCATGTTTTCGGATTCGTTCGAAGACAAGGTTTAGATACTACAGATGAAATTTTCTGTCCAGATTTGCGATCAAGCGGTCATCTACGTACGTGTGGACAGAGTTGAGACCTAGAAAAATGTCATCGACGAATTTCTGGAAAGTTTGTGCAGCATTTCCTAAACCGAAAGGAGTGCGCGCAAATTCGTAGAGTCCGAATAAATTAATAGCAGTTGCTTTAGGAATACCGTCTGAAGCCACAGGATTTAGGTCATTTGCTCTAACCAAGTCGATTTCCAAAAAACAGTTGTATAGCATTGTGTGCTACTTAAACGAACAGATATTAATGGTGTGGATCGGTCATGTGAAGCAAAATTCTTACTAACAGAAGAGGAAAATGAAGGAGAGAAAACAGGAAGCAATCTAAGGATTAAGTGGAATGAAGGAACGATGAGGTTTGCAAGAGACTTTCCAAAGGTGTGCAAATGATCCTTTCTATGCATGATTTACGCGTTTTACTAATTCACTGTGTGATTTTGCCTTGAACAGTAATTCGACCATCCCCACGAAGATTTCGTACACTATAATACCCTGAAAGCTTACCATGAAGTCATGAATGTGAGGCAATGAATGACGATAAGGTTTGGTTTTTTCATTCATTTTCCTATAATCCCTAGTTCGTTACCAATCACTGCTGTCTTTTTAAGGGACCTTGTGTAATGAAGATATATCCTCTATATACGGTTGCCGTCAACGCGAACTGACACGGAAGTTTGCCGAACTTTT